TGTATCACAAAGCGAGTTAGCAAGTGGAAGACATGTATAGTAGAAAGTGGCTTGATTCCTCTAAGTGGAAGATCCGTATAAGGATCATATCTATATACCGTACAAGACGGGTAATCGGCTTGTAGAAAGCGGTATCGTACGCCAGTAACCGGCAGCGCCACGTGTGGCGCTACAACACACCCCCTCAGTCGCGCCCGTATCCCATCGGGTGCTGATGGACAGCACTTTCGCCAAGGGCGGGGTAGAGCCAATAAGGGCTTGCAAGTCTTTTAAGATAACCAATAGGGCTGCAGTACCTCTATTTCCTATAAATTTTGGTTGTGCCAGAGGTACCAGCAATCTTTGTTAATACATAATGGTACATTACAATCTAAGCAGCCCTTTCGAGTTGTCTGCAGGCTGGGTGACAGAATCCATGCATGCTCCTATGCGAGTCATGGACATAACCCATTCGGAATGGTCTGACCATCACGAAACAGGCCAGACTGTCATTTCCACCTGGTCCTAGCTCTGCAAGACTTATTAGGATAGCATTAGGCCCACAAGCCTGTGGTGATTCCATCCACTCTTTAGTACGAATAGACGCTCTTTTCTGCTCACTCACATATGCATATTCCGCTGGCCACCCTGACTAACCGTCACTGGGCTGGAATTCCGCAGTGTTGAATATCCGTAGTCGCTGGAGTAGCAGTTGGAAACGGTCCCGGGACATAAACCGTGTAAATAGGTGGATAGGATCCTCCGTTTGCTGCTGGGTTGACCAATAGGTTGATAATCTAGACTCCCTATGAATCCCTATATATAATAGGATCCCTAGCAAGAGGTAGATCTCATCTGCTGAAGTCTGCCGCCATGAATTCGGTCTAGACGTTCTAGCCCTAGGGCCCTCCTTAGACAACGGCGCTGTATTCGTCCACTGGGCCCACTGCCCCACGAGGCTCTGCGGGACGTATTGGAGGAACAGTTCAAGCGGGCTTGCCGGCAGCCCCCGTATCTCTTGGGCCCGAGCCGGCACGTTGAAGGGTCGGAAGGAGCCCGGAGGAACATGCTGAGTTGCCGGAGGTTCGTGGGGCCGGACTGTAGCTGCGTCACAGCGCTCGGGCGTACAGTCTGTATTACAGGCAGCAGTATGGTCTTCTGGGTGGACCTCAACTACTATACAGCTGCGTATAGAATGTTACGGCCAGCTAGTCGTAGTGAGGTATGTTTGCAGAAGTTGAGGCTGCAGAACTGGTAACAGTATTCGTAGTCGGGGATAGCTTCAGGGAAGCTATGTCTGTAAGTCGTAAGGTGAGGGAAGGCTGCGGTGATCAATCGTAGTCTTATCAAAGAGGTTCTCAGGGAAGATAGCTGAAAGCGATCATAAGATCTGATACGAAGTTAATTGCTGAAGAAGCTATGGAAAGTCTGTCCTAGAGTCCGGCTCGAGTCCATCCTTATATACAAGTCCGATCCTAACTGAACAGTGCTGAACAGTCCCCTTTGTCTGGATATGTTGGATATGCCGAATATCCAACATATCCTTATCGCTTATCATATCTCTTATCATTACGTGACTTGTACCATAGTTCTTCCGTTCCTGGGGTTTCCCCAATGTTCCGTCCCGTCCTGCATATATGATGCGCCGTAGCCGCCAGGCGTCAGCGGGGCACGCCCTGGTCTCATGTTGGGTCGTAACAACTATCTAGGGCGCGCCTACGTACTTACTTCGTCGAGCGATCACCTCTTATATACAACCTACTTAGTATTATATATCTAAAGTATAGTAGCCCGGCAAGAGCCGGATAAAGAATAGACGTACTATCTTAAACGGGGTTAATAGTCTACTATACTAACTAGACGCGACGCAAACCAAAGCCATTAAAGCGATAGTCCCCGTATATAGAACGACGCCTATATCGATCCTATAGCGCAAGGCGGCTCTACCCCCAGTAGAGGTAATACTAGACGCGAAGCTCCACAAAGCGTCCACCAGAATCCATCTTCTGGACGAGCGACACCCTCTCCGAACAAGACTCAGGGACAAATCAGGACCAGACTTACGGCTACGACGAATAGCAAACCTCGTAAGTAAAAATACCGAATATATCGATCCGTTAGAACTCCCCTCTTAGGAGCAACTAGCGGACTAGTAGATAGCCCTCGCCAGGGTCGGCTACGAACCTAATAAGACTAAAGAAGAACAGGCCCTCTCCTTTATAGGCAGGGTAGTAACTTTCTCTAAGCGGGATATTATTATTTATACTAATAGGTCCTAGATATCGGACGGTAGTAGTATCTCCGCCGGAATAGGCTAGGTAAGGTACTAAGCTATACGGCAGATCTTCCGCGGTGTTACGCCCGCCGCAACTTGTCACTGTGGGCGCGTAGCTATATAATGCAGAACAAGGGACAATGATGCCGGAGTCATCATTATCGAAGCTTTTGCTTTGTGCCACAGTTGGTTGCCTTGTCCAGCTCGTAACACGCGGATCCAAACTACTCGGCTCCTAAACTGAGGTATATAACGCGGAGGTATATACTACGTATCACGGCCTAATAGAAGCCGCCCGGGCTCCTACGGCTCGTATAGTAGATAATATCCATATCTACCTCGATAACCTCGTAATCGCGGCTAAACTATACTCCCAGAGCACAGGAAGTAGCCAGGCTAGATTCAGGGCCTTCAATAGGCTCTCTTCCTCCTAGACTCGGAGATAAAGAGAGAGCTGGACAACCCCCGGCAGGGTTTATATTTGGTGGTACCCTAGGTACACGGGAGTACCAGGAAATAAAAAAGCGGACACTCTAGCTAAGGAAGCCTACAAACTAATCCCAAAATTACAACCACAGCCCTTATTAGCGCACCTAGAAAGGCAAGCTAAAGCAGCTGCCTTCCAAGCCTTTGCCAGAAAATGGCTGTCCTAATGCCCTCGGCAATATGCCGACCTCGAGATAATTCTTCACCCCAAGCCGCCCGAACTCCGCCTCCCTCGGCACTTACTAAGAAGGCTATACGCAGCAAGATCCTATTATAGAGACTTTATAACATACCACAAGAGATTCGCTTATCAAGATACGTTGCTTAACTACAGCTATAGGAAACCCAAAATACTAGTCTATTTTTACTTTTATAAACGTAAACGTAAGGCTATACCGCGCTACCTCCGCCAACATATAGCCAAAATAAGCATTTATTTCTTATTAGGCTCTACTAAGGGAGCCTCTCTTCTATGCGAATGGATAGAGGAGACCAATTTCTTTTCCGAAATTTGCCCGAGTCATTAAATAGGAACGTTAGGTGAAGACGGTAGCCTGTAATATAGTTTAGATTAGTATAGACCATATTGGCATAGCGCCCAGCACGTTCTTTTGTTACCAGATATTAAATACATCATCATCATCATCATCAAAGTGAGTGCTTACTAGTATCTACTTAGTAATCACTAACGAATATGGTGATCAGGCAAACAAAGGATATGTTCAGGATTAGGACTTATATATAGGATGGACTCGAGCCGGGCTCTAGGATAGACTTCCCATAGCTTCTTCAGCAATTAACTTCGTATCAGATCTTATGATCGCTTTCAGCTATCTTCCCTGAGAACCTCTTTGACAAGGCTACGATTGATCACCGAAGCCTTCCCGACTTGAGACCGATTCGACCCAGTGTAATAATCATCTGATTATTACATCTGATTATTACTGTTACCAGTTCCGCAGCCTCAACTTCTGCAAACATACCTCACTATGACTACCTGGCCGTAACACACGGAAGCCAGTTCTTATAAATAATTATAGGACTGTTAAGCTTCCTAGTAGTAGGGAGCGAGACTATAATTATCGTTACGTATACGACGGTTTCGTCTTATACGAGAAGGGGTAGTTTAGAGAGAGAGTAGGCACTTGCAGCCCGCTTTATAATAGTAGGGGTTTCTATTGCTTGTGGTTAAGTCAGAGCTGGGCTTATAACTATCACAAAGCGAGGTAGCAAGTAAAAGACATGTATAGTAGAAAGTGGCTTGATTCCTCTAAGTGGAAGATCCGTATAAGGATCATATTTATATACCGTACAAGATGGGTAATCGGCTTGTGGAAAGCGGTATCGTACGGCAGTAACCGGCAGCGCCACGTGTGGCGCTGCGACATCTTGCCCTATGGCCCCTATGCCGTGGCATTTGATGTCGACAAGGTGAGGCACTCATTAGACCTCTTGAGCCCATATCCGTAAATATACTCCCACACTGCAGTCGATCTCTGCAGTGGTCATTCAGAGAACTACGGACTCAATACATGTGTACTAAAGAGGATGTTGCTTTTTTTCCCTTGAAACATCTGTCGTAGGGTATATATGGCGTTAATTGCTGCCCGTAATTAACGGCGTCGTTTTTGCGACAACATCGCTAGAAAAGGACGGTGCGCAAGGTGAAAGTCGTCGTATGTTTTCGCGTGGTAGGACCGTAAAAGACGTCCACCCCTGATGAGGATGTCGATCGTGGACCTTCGCATTTTGATTGAGGGGGTATGAGCTATATAAACTGCTCTCGAGGTTACATCCGACCCTTCAATTTCAACGAAAATAACTACAACATGCGGACCTGCGCAATTATGTTATTGCACGTCACTCAGTCAGTCGTGCATAACGGCCATCCTTGCCCCGTCCCCCCACATTCCGGGCCGTCGCGAACATCACAAAATTCCCGCTGTCGTCTGCGTCCGATGGGCTCTCTACCAGTGACCTGGCCAATCGGGTCGCTGTGAAACCAAGCATTGTCACCAGAAGCTAGGATTCGGGACCCCAGAAGATCGTCAGGGCCTCCCCACCAGCCATGAAATAAACGCGTACGCACATTGGAAACAAGCTAGAGTCAGGATACTGTCAATCTATTTGACTTTCTCGGCCGGTGAAGGGGTCAATTTGCCAAGCTTCTGTATAAGACTCCGATGTAGCCCAACGTAAGTAGGTGTCGACAGCAGCACAAGCTATCATTCTTTCGTCTTCCACATTCTCTACGCTTGCCATGTTCCCCAGCTTTCTTCAGTCAGTGCTCTTAGCATCGGGCTTAGTGTCGGCCACGCACGCCCTGAACCATCAGCTGATTGTCGGAACGTTCGGTACACCATACCTGTACACCTTGGAGTTTGAAGATGCTGCCCGCACTCTCACTTTGGCTGCAAACACGTCCGTCAACGTGAGCAGCTCATGGATCTCCTTGAGCGCAAGTGCCCCATCCTTTTTTGCCCAGCCAATGACTCACGCATAGAATTAGCATGACAAGAAAGTCATCTATGGCAACGCATTCGAGGATACGGGCAGCAGCGTATATGTTAGCTACCCCCTCACCGATGATCTTCAAATCTCTCCAGGCAATACGGTGACGTCCCAGGGAGCGTGCAAGCAACTTTCAATCTTCGTCAGACCATCGCCCGCCTCTCCATACGCAGTCTATGGCCAACCTTTTGGTGCTTGTGGGACCGTTATGTCAGTAGACTCGGATGGTCTCCTCGTCGAGTCGATCCAGGAATACAACTACTCTTCTTCATCTGGAGTTCATGGTACTGCTTTTGACCCAACCGGAGCGTTCATGTACTCGCTCGATGATACGGGCAACGCTATCTGGGTACACTCTGTCGACAACTCGACAGGAGAACTGACTTATGTCGCCAATGTCACCGCGCCGGTAGAAGGTGCGGATCCTAGACACGGCACTGTTCACCCCACGGGCAACTATCTATACGTCGTACACGAGGGAACGAACGAAGTGGGCGTTTACAAGATTGATACCAGCACGGGCATTCCAACCTATGCTGATATCTCATATCCTCTGAAACCTGATGGTGAGTCTCGCCTTCAGAATCCCGTATCTTTTAGAGCTTTGCTGACCCTCCACACTTAGGCGCCAATGACACCGACTACTGGTCGGACGAGGTTGCTCTTTCATATAGCGCAAAGTATCTTTGGGCTACCTCGCGAGCACGTAACACCAACAGCACCGGGTACATCTCAATCCTGGCTCTCAATGACGACGGATCCGTAAACAAGCAGAACTTCCTGACACACACGACCTCTAGCGGAGGTAGCGCAAATGCCGTCACGCCGAGCGACTTTGGTGATCAATTCGTTGCCATCACTGATAGCTCTGCCGGTTTCGTGGAGATTTGGGAAATGGGCGATGATGGCGCTTCTGCTGATGTTGTGGCTCACTTGGACCTCAATGACGGAGGCTGCTGCGCGAATGCCGTTTGGCTTCCCTGAGGATCTGATGATAGGCACTAGTCTAGAGAACAAAATCGAAGGTTTAAACTTCCGGTTCAATCAACTTGCATAGTCCAGATCTATATACGAGCTTAATCCAACTGATGTCCATAAGAAAAGAATAGACCGTTGATTTACCAGGGCAAATGAGTTCCGTCATAATTCTGGAATGTCCCGCTGATATCTCTTGACGCAGTATCAATCCTGCCCATAATCTTGAAAACGCTCTCTACTGTGATCGCTCCAAGGTCTTCAAGCTTCAAATCTGTCCCCTCAATCACGGAGTGCACCATGTCGGTAGCCACAGTGCCGGGGTGAACGACGAAGCTCGTGAGCCACGTCTCTTCAAAATGCAATCTCCGAATGAACCAGTTCAGCGCAGCTTTACTGGACCCGTAAGGGCTTAAAGCCGGTGGCAGATTTTCGAGGGACTCCATGCCGGAGATGGTTCCAAGCATCGAGGTAACGGCAATGAAGACCGGACGACCACTATTGCTGGCTTTGAGTAGCGGTGCGATTGCCTGGAACAACAGGAGAGGTCCGATCGTGTTGACAGCAAAGTGATCCTTGATTGCAGCGGTGGAGGTCTTTATGACGGGGCCACTCGAGTGAGCAATACCGGCATTCGCGATAACAACGTCCAGGGCGTTGATATCGTGATCTCGCTGCAGAATAGAGACAGCTTCCGCGGGGTCGGTTTTGATGGAAGAGTCGATCTTGACGATGATGAGCTTGGAGCCTTCACCCTTGGGAAGGTCTTGAAGAGCTCTAGCCGATGCCTTTGAAGGGTCTCGGACTGCGGCTATCACAGTTGACGATGGTCTAAGCAAGAGAGTGGCGATGAAGCCAGAGCCAATGCCACGACCGGCACCGGTGACCAAGACTGTGGTAGGACTCATGTTGGATAATTACTGTCGAGACAAATGCTTGGATGGTGCTGGCGTTATTGAATGCTCAGAAGATTGCAGGGCCGCATGCTCCTTATCACTGATGGTTTAAATAGTTGACTTTACGGGGATACTTTCCATGCCTTTCAGTCTCCAACTAGGACACACAAACTCTCCGGTCAAACAGTAGAAATCAGTCTACTTGTGGTGACCATTGACATGGAATACCAAGATTGCACCTCGTCTCAATACAGATTTGAAATCAGAGCAAATGGCATTGGGTGATCGGCTGAACGTTGCGGTCGAATTGTAATTAATGATCACTACGCCCTAGTTGAGTTGACTGGAGCTTTGTCGCTAGGTCATGTCACAAGTTTGAATACTTCTCGCCAGCCGTCGGGCAGATTATTTCCCCGATCGCTCTTCCTAAAAGTCGGTACCTTTCTTCGAAATATGGATGGTCCCATTCTAAACTTGAAACCTTTACTCTCTCTCAATTATTCTTTGCATCCATGTTTGTGCAGATCATCGAGGTCAATCACCGCCAACATCGGGACTATGGTAGACACAGCAGTGGCCTGTAATGCAAGCTAGTCCATTCCTTTTCCCACTCGTCTTCTTAATTGCTAGCTGTGAGGACAGGTGCTCGATCTATCTCGGCTGAAAACCTTGAGGCAAGTGCTTGCTACGTCAGTGGTATCGGCTCGAAACTTTTCAATTCACATGGATTTGACACTCCTGCTGTGATATAACAACTTTTATGTAATGTAGATCTAACTCACTTAAGTACCTTAAGCAAAGATTTGTAGTGGTCCCCATTTCGTCTACCCGGTAAGGTACTCATGTGAGATGAACTAGTCTAAATGATCATTCAGTGAGCTTCAGCAGATGAGCTGAATGCAGTTGGATATCGACCCTCTATCATATAGGCAGATTCACAGGGCAACTTTTAGTACATGTCTGAATCGCAGGGGAACATTTCCAAATGCCGTTGGACGTGTGGCTGTCGAAGGCTCATGCTGAACGTAGACATTAGACTCATTGCCACCACGCTTAGCAGCCATCGTGTCAAGTCTCAAGCACAAGACCTGAAAGACACAAGACTCTCAGCACTGTGAAACATTGAATCGCTCATACCATTCACTCCATCCCGAAATTGTGTCTACAAATAATCTACTCTCCCTTAACCCAACCCTCCTTCTCATTCTGCTCCTTGCTACGTCGACTCCATTCTGGAGCTATATCGATGCCATCTTCTTCCTCTTTGTCACCCTGATCCTTGGTCTTGTGAACCGCTGTTGGCTTGTGCTCAGCTGGCGAGTAAACGGTGTACAGAATCAACGGTGTCGGCCCCCTATTCAAGAACTGGTGCTTAGTTCCTGCAGGAACAATTACCATGTCGCCAGCCTTGACTTCCTGCTCCTTTCCGGCAACCTGCGCAAGGCCCTTGCCAGACGTAAAGGTAAGGATTTGATCCACGGTGTGAACCTGGTGCTTAGTCAGTTTTACAAACATAACAAGATTAAAACGGGGGGTGGCGTACCTCTTCGCCAATGTCGCCGCCAACAGGAACAGTCATGAGAACTAGCTGGGAATATCCCATCGAGTGCTGCAAGGCGACAGTACATTGAGATGCGGGGGAGCAGCCAATCGGGCCACTTCGGGCCCCTTTTTCCAACCAACCAACGTAATTGATAATAGATACTTCCAATTACTAGAGATTCTGCGTATGAAATCGGTACCAGCAATCTTCTGAGTTACAGAGAGCTACATCGCACTCGAGGCAGCCCATCCTCGTGTACTTCCCAGGGATACCGGGCTCAACCTCCGGAGGCTCGCGGGGCCGAACAGTGGCATTATCACATTGCTCCGGCGTACAGTCGGCAGTGCAGGCGGCGGCGAGGTCCTCGGGCAGCAGGGCAAAGATACACGACTTCGCCGAGCCCGTGGAACGGCCAGATCCGTCAGAATCGTCAGAATCCATTAATTGAGTATTGGTAATGATGGATTTGGTAGATGTACCGGAGTGGAAATCATAGGGGCAACTCAAGCAGTGGATGTACCAGATGCGGTGCGGGGTAAAAGGGGGCCCGTTATGTGGAGCCAATGTACTGTCGCCTTGCAGCACTCGATGGGATAGGCCTGTCTAGAGGACGCGACGGAATTCGCCAGAGGCGGATGGCAAGGCCGTGGTCATGTCGAGTAAATACTGCATCTCCTTCTTGGAGGATCACTCGATGGGGTGGGGAAGTTAGACATTTTGGTTGTCGAGAAGGCGTTCTTCGCCTGAGGATTTCTTGATATCAAAGGTCGGATTGGTGAGCTGCTGCAGAGAGGCCGTACGATGCGTAAGAGTTTGGAAGAAAACATGTCTGATAAATGTATCTAGCACGCTGAAAGACAGGAACTCTTATTTTCCAATGAAAACCCCTGGATTGAAATGCGTCAGGCTCTCAGGGATTAATATGATGATGATACTATGATTCTTCGGGGATTGATGTGGGCAGTACACACTGCTCATCTGGACCAACGAGGCAAGCAATGAGGCAATACGACTGGTATTGACGGTTGGTTGGTGATGTTGTGGTGAAGGTGGCTGCGGTGGGCTGGATCAACCAGGAGGTGGATCAGGCAGCTGGTGCCTGGGGCACCAGCCACTGCCTCAGGTATTCACAGTCCCACAATTGATACGTCATCGATCAATCAGACCCCGTAGCCACGCAAATCCCGCTGGTCCCCCGAATCGATGAGTAACTCATAAGGTATTGAACCTTACTCGCTCGCAATATTCTAGTAGCACGCTCTGAAGTTGTTCTAGATCATGATGTCTACGGTACCTTCGGATGTTTATTGACACCACCAGGAGGCATGCCGGATTGGACCCACTTCTCCGGGAAAGCGCCGGGGAACCCGGAGGTCGCCGGAGCTGGGTCCTTGCCTGTAGCACCGTAACTACTGCCTGCTATGTAATGCATCCCATTGATTCTCTCAATCTTTCTCAGTAATACAGATGTTAGAGGTAAGTGAGGTGCATTCGAAGGCAATTTGCCGTACCTCGATTAAAGATAAGGGTTCTGCGCGCTACCAGTGCTGCCCCAGACCGTCACATTGCATATTAAAGCAAATGAGTTCCGGACGATGCACTCACTAACTAATACTATCCTGCTTCCCATCATCGCAACCATTGCCGTCAAATCGTCCTGTCGGCTATGGATAGACACCACACTCAGTTGCATCGAGCCTTCATGTTGTAATTGATGTAACAGCTCATTTTCCAGTCATCATCCCAGCCTTAGCTCTACGAAGGGTGCTGCGGGGGTGGTTGATCGACACTGTTCCAGACTCCAGTCTGTGGCTTTTGGCATCGTAATCTAATGTACCCACGCATGCGCCATAGCCGCCGTCAAATGCCTAAACTACATCCTCATGGTATGTCCCATGGAAGATCAAGTTCGTCAAATGAACGAAATCTTGATAAATGCTCCTGCCCCTCCGGCGCGCCTTATCTCGATCGTGTCTAGATTTCGAGTATTCACACCGAGTCACTATTGTCGCGTGCCTCGGTGATGCATACATGTCATCCTGCAAGTGCGGAGCGAGCGATGAATCGGGCTTAGTAGCACATGAACAACTGTGCCGACTGCCGCCCACGTAAGCAGCAAGTTGTCTGTTGCTGCCTGCCTACGGTGAAATTAGACCTTTGGATTTTGTCTTCATGAGGGCCTAACTTAACTCCTTCATTGTACGAGGAGGTCTCAGCGCATTCAAAAAAACCTAGTGTCACGCTGCGACTCATCGTACCTTACTCGGAGTGCCATGGAGACCTCGCTGAAAACCTTCCAGGGTAACTGCCACTGTGGCGCGAATCGATACCAGGTCCAACTAGCAGACTATCCGTCCTTAGTGATATGCGACTGTTCGCTGTGTGCAAGAAAGGGACACGTCTGGATTTACGATGTCGAGGACAGCTTGAAAGTCACAAAGGGATGTTCTAGCGAGACGTTGACAACTTACACCGGATCAGATTCCGAGGCCTTGAAGCATGAGGTACGTTCATCTCGATAGAAATAGCCACTTATGGTCCTCTTGGGGTGACTAGCTGATGAGGAGACGCCAGTTCTGCAATGTTTGCGGTACCACACTCTTCGGAACACACACTTCTGGCGTTCAAGCTGGAAAGAAAGGCATCAACTTTCGGGTGATTGTCTCCGATTTTCAAGATGTATTCATCAAGGGAAGAAGCGTCGTGACTATCGGGGCCCCAGATGAGTACTTGCCGTATCCAGGCTCTCTAAGGTGAGTGACGTCAACGTAGAGGCCGCGCTGAACGAGGCTGAATCCCAAGCCAGCTTCATTGAAAAGGCATCTACATCAGCACCGGTTGATTTCCGCGGTTTGTTGCCGGACGTTCCCGGGGACGACCTCACGCTCTACACCGGAGGCTGCGACTGCGGTGCCATTCTGTGGGACTGTGGATACCTGAGGCAGTGGCTGGTGCCCCAGGCACCAGCTGCCTGATCCACCTCCTGGTTGATCCAGCCCACCGCAGCCACCTTCACCACAACATCACCAACCAACCGTCAATACCAGTCGTATTGCCTCATTGCTTGCCTCGTTGGTCCAGATGAGCAGTGTGTACTGCCCACACATTCAGGTCGCGCTCAGAAGCAAGTCGCCTTCTGAAGTTGAGATCAAAGAAGACAACTGCAGCATCTGCGTCCGTGTATGTCTTGAGTCCATGCCTTGACCCATCGCCTCAGGTTATGAGCTGTACTAACCTGCAATGTGAAATAGAATGGCTTTATTGGTGTGTATCCTCATCAGTCTCAGGTGGGTATTGTCGGCAAAGACCATACGCAAGACTACCAATTTGGCCGCAAATTCAATGGGTCGCCCTTTTGTCGCACCTGTGGCGTACACTGCTTTGGCAACCTGTATGGGCCGCCAAAAGAGCTGGTGGCTATACTCCCTGCGGCAAGACAGGAGTTTGTGCAAAAACAACTCGAGGTTCAGCCGCTGAATGTTCGTGTTCTTGAAGGCATCGAGTGGCATAATGTCAATGTGGATTGGAGTAATGACGGAACGGAAGGCTATGGTCTATCTGATTGAGAGAGTAACTTTTCTTACGCCTTCATCACTGTTGTCTTGTCTTGTGATGTTGCCTCGTGGGGTATATCCTTGTATTAAACTATTATAACTCATGGCTAACATCTTCAATCATATCCGTGGACGTACGTGCAGCTCTTGATGATGGGATTCAAGCTGACCAGAGTATCAGCTATCAGCAGATAAGACAGAGGGGCTCAGTATGCACCGGAACCAAGAACCGGACTGCAGAGTAGGCTTTTTGGGAAAGACGAGCGCTACTAAGCTTCAAATTCGTCTCACATCCTACATAGACTACACGTGCTTCTCACAACTTCTACCACTTTAGCAAGCATTGTCGGGGCAGGCCAGACCTCCAGTACCATATCGGTCACTGGAGACATTGCCAAGTTGGAGGGCAGCGCCAATGACACCTCCCATGCCCTCGCCAGCGATCATACCCGCAGCAATAGCGTAGCAGGCCTAGCCAATGGTTAGTTTCTGGTTCCAAGTAACAACTTGACATGGGTTAGCACTTACAATCTCGAAGGAAGCAGGCTTCCAGCGGCGCCAGACAAAGGCAATGATGGCACCGACGAAGGCGGCGTTGACGAAGACAGGGCCGGGAATGACGAAGGACAGGGCAATGGCACCCCAGTTAGGAAGCCACTGCTGGTACTTCTCGCGAGGTCCGACCAGGTAGTAGTGGCGGAAGATAACCTGGAGAATGGAGAAGATACCAAGGCAAATGGCGAAGATGCCGGAAGAGCGAGGGATGGGAACGTTGGGGCTAGTGACAACCTCGGCGACAGCAGCCCAGGCACTGACGGAAGGAACCAGGAAGGGGCAGTGCTCAGCCTCCGCATCCGTGATGCAGGGGTAGGCAGTGGTGAACAGAACGAACAGACCAGGCGCAAGCCAGACGGAGACGAAGGTTCCAATAGCCTGGGCGATGAACTGCTTGTTGGGAGGGGTTCCGAGCAAGAAACCGGTGCGAAAATCCGAAGTCAGAGCCGTGGCAACATCAGCAGCACCGGCAGCGAGACCAGCAGAGATGAGGTTGATCTTTTGAGCGTGCTGAACGGTGTATCCGGCGCCGGTGGTGGTACCACCAATAACCAGCTGAGCGGCCTTCGCAGCAGCGGTAAGGGGCGTCTGATCAGTGACACCACCGATCTGGATGGCGAGGAAGGAGAAGAGGAAGGCGAGAACCAGGGCTAGGATGGTGACACCGACGTTGACCTGCCATTGCAGGCCCATGACGATACAGGCCAAGATGATGGACGCGAAGAGACCGAGAACCCAGATCCAGGTCTTGACTTGCTGTTCGGGAGTGGCGGGGTCCTCGACAGCATTGGCCTCGCGCTTCTCCTCTGCCTCGGCATACTTTGCGAAGAATTCGATGCGCTTGCCTTTCTTCATCGCGGTCTCGTGGATAGAGAGGCAGATGGACTTCCAGCCGGCGGCAAAACCGAAGTAGATGATCTTCCAGTGGACGAGAAGCTCACCCATGGAAGAGCAGACCATGACCATGACACCGGGCCACTATGTATCGTTAGATCAGAATTGAGTTTCGGATGTGAAATCCTGGGTATTAACTCACCAGCAGCCAGTATCTGGGGGATGGCGGGCCTTCACCGATATGCTTCAGGGAGGTGAAAGAGGTGAGACCGGACCAGTTGGGGTCCTCGGAGGCTTGGATACCGATGCATTCTCCGTCTGTCGATGATTGTTAGTATTTGAGTGAAGTGAGGGCGTCGGGGGAGGGGGTCTCACAGTGAACCAGGACAGGGCCGATGACTCCCCAGGCAAGAACGGCTCCTCCCATCATTGAGCAGGCAGAGTTCATTCCAATAAGCATTCCGGAGCCAATGAAAGCCGTCGTCCACTCGAAGTACCTGAACTCCAGGGTCAGCCAAACATCACCACTAACATCACCACTAGCCTCATTTTCACTCACCAGCCCCAGGATTCAATGTTCATAGCAGAGCTGCTATAGTTTGACCAGATATGAATCCATGACATGACTATAATTCCGTTAGTCCAAGATTGGCCTCGTAGATGAAAGAGCGTAAACTCACTGTGCCAGTCGTAGAGGATTCCAATAGCGTAGTACGATGCTACGCGGTGCACGATACAAACTCCAAAGGCAATTCCCAAGGCCTTAAGCTTGATAGCGGCTTCGCGAGCGCCGTTGACACCAGCGTGCATAGAGCGAATTGTGAGGGCCGTCGCGGTCGAGGTCGGGAACATGAGCTTGAGCTCACGGGCAGTGCGGATGATGAAGAACTTGCGCAGCGGCGTAACGAAGAAGAGACCGAAGAAGGAGCAGCAGAGCGTCAGGGTGAAGATCTTGCCAATGTCACCGGACGGCGTGCTAGGCATGAGGTCGAGTCTGTACATGGCAGGGATACCTGCAACGAAGATACCAGCAATACCTCCAGCACCAGTGGCAGCAGCCTAAGGGTGTTAATCTTTGCGGCCCAAGCAGTCATTATGGGTTTAGGTCATACTAACCTGAACGATGGAGTTCTCTTGAGGGCCAAAAGTTCCACCCAGAATTGGGAGATTTGTTTGCGAAAGCATCTTCAAGATTCCGTAACCGAAGATTGCTGTATCATCGTCAACTCCGAGTTCAGCATAACAACGGATGCTTTTGGTCATAACTTACCACCAAACATTGAGGCCACAAACGTGAAGCCAGTTTTCTTCAGAGCAATTCGACGTCAGAATGATTCACAATGGTAGACATTTCATCAAGTCTCGACTTTTCGAAATCCACAATGGTGATATCTCGATTCGCAGAGGGCTGCGAAAAGAACGGCTTCATGCCCAGACAAAGGGACGAACTTACCAAGCCAAGATACAAGTTGGATGCGTTCACCAAGGAACCCAAGATACAGCCCACAACAATGGCTCGAACAGTCAAGATGTTTTCCTCGTGGGGAATATTGGGGTCCATCGCTAATGGGCGGTAAAGATCCTCCTCCTTGTGCTCATCGGTCTCGGGGACCTTCGTATCGACGATGGGTTCGGTCCATTCGCCGCCCATGGCGCCCTTCTCATCGGGGTGGACGGTGACGCTGCCGGTGTAGGAGGGGCGGGGCTCGGCGCTGTCGACGCGGGCAGCCGGGGACACGGCCGAGGCCGGTGCCACTTTTTCTTCGGTCATGGCGGGCTTGTCTGATGCTCTTTCCACAGCTAAAGGAAGGGCAAAGCGAAAAGATGCGAAACACAAAACGCGGGCTGGAGGGGGGAAAAGGTGGAAAGGGTTTGCGAGGGTTTGCCATCATTATATGTCTCGACACCTCGACAAACCTGCCGTCACATTCGCTCTGTCTGACTATCCCTGCCCACATGAATCTACCTGGAGCGATATGCAAAACCTCTCCCACTGGTTGGGCCGTTGGGGAGGTTCTCGCGTCGAGCACGCAGTGGCACGAGCTTACAGCAAAAAAAGAACCACCCCGGACGAGACAGCTTGGCCATCCCTGCTCTCCCGATGCACAAGGAGCAGGCCAGATAAGAAAGCGGTACGTTTGTTCAGCGGGGTCTGCATGTCGCTCCGGCCAGGTCGAAATTCGTCTAGTCCGAGTGAGCAGGCAGGCGACATGCAGACCCGCGGCGCATGGCATTTGGCCACACCAGAAACGGGAGTCTGGGACGACGGTCAAGTTCAGTTGCAGTCGATCCGCGTTGGAGCTGCTGGACCACCAGTCTGCCCGCGGGACTCATTTCGCCCGCCTGGCACTTTTGATGTAAGCCGCAACTGTCCATCGATCCTGGAATAGGAAGGTCCTTGACAGTGTTACTTAAGATGTCCCAAACTTTAGGCAACCCGTCAACGATCCCGAGGAGGAACAGTTCGGCTGACGGCTAACGCGAGGGCCGTGATACCATTGGCTAACGAGGTTTATCAGCTTTCTAGTGGCGTTGTAGAATGAAATGTCATCGCATTGTTGTCAACAGCTTCAATCTGACTGGGCAGTCGATCACCGAGGCTGGAGATAGATAGGCTTCCCCAAAGAAAGCCTGTGGCCTGTGGGGCCCTCGTGTTTGGCCAGATGTTCCCGTGGGATCTGATGTAAGTTGATAACTCTTCAAAGTGACACAGGCTAGCTGTCGACGATGGCCACTAGACGCCACTAACGGCGACTAAAAACCAAGGGATCATCAAAAGTGCCAAGTCGTTAAGCTTGATTGAAGGGTTCCTCGTAAACTCAGCTACAAGGCGGGGGTTACTGTCGGAACGGCAAGGCTGATAAGGAGCAATGGGCAGGTATCGTGGGCTGGCTGGCGCCTGCCCTGGGCGAAGTGGGACAACCGGCTTAGTCACCACGGCCGGTTAAGGTGGGGCAACCACCCAGGCCGTCACCACCTACTTCGACCGACCCCTGCCCACAATGTAAATAGGAAGAACAAGAACAACAACAGCAATTATCACGGACATCGACGTGATTGTTGCCGAAGATACACCCTCATGAGGAAATGTATCACGCCTGTGATACCAACAGTTACATTCCGCCCCCATCTCCTCTTCCACCCAAGGTAGCCTTTGGGATCGCAGCCCAGATTGAACTTTTGAAGGAAGGGTTGTAAACATGCCTCGAGGCTCCCAATGACTGCGTCGTCATTTACAACAACTGAGACAGCCTCGGGGCAAACACGAACTGTTCTGTCTTCGAGTCGTCGATATTCTCAGCGGGCACCAAGCCAACAACTACGGTACCATGCCCGTGGTCTTGGCGACATGAAGCCTCCTGCAGCTTCCCCAACAGGTGATTTAAACTCTCTCTGCCAAACATTGGCGGTCCAGATTGTCGTGCCATTCGTCGGAGGACAACGAGACACGCTACAAAAGGACCTCCCCGATATTGGACCGCAGGGGTCCCGATTGGTAGAGTCCCAATGGGGCCGCAGGCCCTGAGCGGGATGTGTGCCAGTTGAATTGGAGTAACCGTAATGCGGATGCTTTGCCTTAGCCCCCTGTTCAAATTCAACCTCGCCTAGCCTCAACCTTGGTA